GTTGTTTGATTAACTTAATGTTGTCTTATCTTCGAAATTTGGTTTGAATCTACCATTTAGGCTCAGATCTATTAATCTTTAATAACCTTTAAGAAGAATCAAACTAAAAATTATCTTCAATAAACCTTCCTAATGGAATAAGATGTTGTAGAATACGTTAAAAATTATTTTTTTAAATATATTCCTTCCTTCCGGAAAATGCCTTTTATTCTACTGAGTCACAGCCTATAGGTCCCTAGAACGTCAGCCATTCATAATTTAGCTCCAAGCTCCAAGACATGATGTGGTTTTGGGAAACAGTGTTTAAAGATCAGTATATGAGAATTGCCCTCAGGCTATCATTCAATGAGGTGTTTGCTATAAAAACCCCAGACCTCAAAATGTACCTACTGGATACCAACACAAACCATTCAAAGATAAATGAGGACCTATTAAACTTTTGTCTATTTTATGCTTGCCAGCTTTATTTTATTGAAACCATCTAAACTGAAAACAAAATAACATTACTGATACTTTATTTTTCTATCATGTTAAGCTTTCCAATGTGCCTTAAGAATGTTAAGTTGGTGTTCATTAATTTAATAAGTTCAAGTCACAAGGTCATAGCTTGCCATGGTGTTCTTCAGATTGTTACTTGGAGAACTAGCAAAGAGCATCAGTTTGCATGGGTAAGTCGGTCTGGATAATGGTCATCCATCCATATCGGTCGCATTTGTTAAGCTTCCCACTGGAGAAAGCAGAATGTATCCTCAGAACAATGCCAAATAAGAGGTGCCTGTGAGTGTATGTTAGATGGGCGAATGTATGATTTCATGGAGGAGCCCCGTTCTCAGAGGACTGACATATTCAACTGACAACTTTATAAACTCTGCCAGCACAAATCTCGCTTTCATAAAGTATGGTGCCTCTATATTTCATTTCCCCCAGGTTATTTGGAAGGGATCCTCTAAAGATATAAATATTTCAGAAGTGTGTGTTTAAACTGTCACCCTACAAGTCACAAGACTTATCCATAAAGTGAAGGCTAGCCCACATGATTACTTAGACTTCCTTCTGCCTTTATGAATCTTTATTAAACAGAACCTCCTGGATGTTTTGGATATTTTCCCTCCTCTGCCAGCCCTACACCTTCTCATGAAGGGTTCTAAGGATGACACTTCAAAGTCTCTATCTAAAGGATTTCCTGGCTTGTGTGGTATAGCTTGTGACACAGTGATAATGGTGGAGAGTCAGACACACTTCCTGAAACACAGCAGTCTTCTGGCTCTTTCCTCCCTTGTGGAACCATAGAACCAAGAACTGGACAAGACCATCAGTCATTGGACAGGAATAAACAACACTGCTAAACTTGTCAGCTTTCTGATCTCTCCCAGATCATATTTTTTAGCCCAGTTCTTAGAAGAGGAAACCTTGCCAAGGCTTTTATTTTTCTTTGTGGTGCTGTACGTACTGTGCAAAGGATAGAATATCAAGATCATATGATTTTAGGACTCATAAAACCACATGGTAATAAAAGAGGAACCAAACTAAATATAAAAGAATTATGCATTGTTATATATAGGTATTTGTAGAGATGTAAAATTTGTTTTTGAAAAAAGCTTAGAGGCGAATTATCTCATGTGTAGCTTAATATGTCTTTCTTTAAGTAGTCTGCCGGAGACACTAAACAGAGGTTTTCCACAGTGCCGAGTTTTGCATTAATTTCAGGTGGAAAATTTGTGGTAAGGGTTGTGCCCACAACCTTTTACTTATAGAAAAGAGCTGGTGTGGGCCACAGTGGAATTGATCCCTGTGAGCCAGGATTATTCACTCTGGACTAAAGCCTCGCTGGGAGGCAGCCCCAGCATTGCCCAGGCAGGTTTGTGTGTGAACAACAGAGAATAGATTGACTCAGATCAGGAATACACATAGTTGGCAAATAATGATAGTTTCTTTCTGCACGTGGGAGGTAATCATCCTGCAATGGACCTGCATCTCCTCCTCTTGTACCAAATCCCTCCCTATGCTATCAGTAAGGTTCTCTTCCTCTACAAAAGGTTCTCAGACCACCGAAGACCATGAGGACTAATGTTTTGTTAGAACTAAAAGCACAACTATTTGACTCGTTTATCACTTAATCATGTTCCATCTTGTAAAGTTATGTTATATTTTCTTGCATCCTTATTTAAGGTTTAAGTGTATGCATGCCTTGTCAGTAATTAGATTTTGAATTTTCATCTTTGAACCTGATACTATATACTGAAGATATTTAACTAGATTTGCTCAAAGCTTAGCCTTCCCTGACACTGTCACAAAAATATTGCAGAAAACACAGTTAACTTTAAACTAAGTTTTAAAGTGTGCTACTATATCTTCTTGGTTGCATTGTTTTCACTTTCCAGGGAGCCACAGTACCCTCCAACTTGAGCTTGTATTTAGGCAGCCAAGTGGCTTCAATTTCTTCCCCAGATTATCAATGTGCGTGTCCAAGGGGAGGCGGGGGTAGGGGAGGGAGAGAAAGGCTCTGGTCACTTATTTCTTAGTTTGAATAAATGTTAATCTCTTTATTTCCCCATGAGAATTTTAGCAGTTTCATCCAATTCTTCTAGTAAAATGACAGACTTAGAAAGAGCTATACATGGCCGGGGCCAATTTGGCTCAATGGATAGAGTGTCGGCCTGCGGACTGAAAGGTCCCGGGTTCGATTCCGGTCAAGAGCATGCACCTTGATTGTGGGCACATCCCCGGTAGGGGGTGTGCAAGAGGCAGCTGATCGATGATTCTCTCTCATTGATGTTTCTAACTCTCTATCCCTCTCTCTTCCTCTCTGTGAAAAATCAATAAAATATATATTTTTTTAAAAAAAAGAAAGAGCTTTACATGAACAAGTTGAGTAGTGGTGGAGATAGACCTGAAATGGGAAATCATGAGACTTTAGCAGCAATCTTCTCTAGCAACTCATTTTGCTCAAAGACTAGAACCATCAACATCTTCAACTATAAAGTCCTGGTAAGAGATTTCAAATCACCCAAACTCAGAGCTAGTTGCTGTCAAGTAGTTAATCAGTGCAGGCATTTTCTGAGAATTCCATGTCAAGTTGAGATATCTGTTTTCCTCTTATTAAGAAAGGCTGCTTGTTGATGGCTTCCTCCTGAGCAATGATTATACTTGATATAGATACTAAAAAAGAAAAAAAATAAACATTCATGGTCAGTAACCACCCTGAATCTTAACTCAGTGAAGAAAGCATATAATTGAGAAGAAAAGCTTTAGTGCAAAATTATGCATTGGAAGCTCTTTAAAAAAAAAAAAATTAAAAAAAAATATATATGTGTATATGTGTATATATATATATATATATATATATATATATATATATATATATAAATAATTGATTTTTTACAGAGAGGAAGGGAGAGGAATAGAGAGTTAGAAACATCAGTAAGAGAGAAACATCGGTTAGCTGTCTCCTGCACATTCCCCACTGGTATATGCCTGCAACCAAGGTACATGTCCTTGACTGGAATCAAACCCGGGACCCCTGAGTCTGCCACTGAGCCAAACCAGACAGGGTCATTGGCAGCTCTTGAAGCACCTGTCCTAAGGAACCACTTATTAATTAAAAACCATAAACCCATAAGAAATTGAGTTGGATTTAGCAAGAGTCCAAATTTTAGAAAATTCTAATGTAAACAAATAGCAAATCTTCCAAATGATGTAATAGTACTGATTCACTAAGTCCCTAATTATCATCTTTATTTATCCCAAAACATAAAAATCTTTTAGTTTTGACCATTAACTAAAGTGACAATGTAAAAAAATATATTGTTTTATTTAAATAGGTAAACATGTGTGTCATTTTCTCTCATGTAGAAATTTTTAGAATCATCTAACAATTTTAGATATATCCATCGAATAACCTGTTATTGAAATTAATTTTTATCACTTCAGAACTCCTGAAGAGTACAATGCTTTCTGGATCTATAGAGGCGGGGAGAACATTCCTTCTCACAGAGTGAGGCAAGAAACCTTCCGATTCCAATAAAGTCTTTATAGGCCTTAAATACATATCTATTTTGTATACATATCTATACAAAGATATAATAAAATGAGGTATATAACCCACCAATCATTTTGCCAAACTCAAGTTTGGAAACTTCACCAAGTATTCAGTAGGTGGTGGTGTCCTTCACATGTGTGTGGAGGTAGTCTTGATGTTACCATGGTGGGTGCACTTGGCATTGGCCCTTGGCTCATCTTCACTCATAATCACTATAACAACAGAAAAAAATGAGTCAGAAGTTAGGGCACTGGAAGAAATGGCAACTGACAACGTTCCTTCAGTTAGGAGAAATATTAAATATTAGCAGAATTACCAAAATTACGCCTCTTACTATCTCTTCCCTTTTTTTAATGCCTGGAAAACATTTAGCAGACTTGCCAAATAGAACAGATTTGCCATTGGAGAACAGAGTCTTTAGTATTCCAAAACAGAAGATTTTTAAACATTGCTTTTAAATTGACTTCAAATTAGTGTTTTTAAAGGTTGTCATACCAGTTGTTAAAATTTTAAAATGAAAAAGGAATATTTTGTTCGCACATGAGAGAAAGCTCCTTCTGTATAATTAGATGCAAAATAGCCCTCTAGGCTTCTCTCTTCCACTCCCCAGATGTAATGTCAATCTCTTTGGCATACCTGCATCATCCTGGGTGGGCTTTTCTGTTCCCTTTGTAACTGTATCCTCTTCCCAGCACCATATGCCTGACCCCAAAGGGCTTTAAAACTAAAGGTGATGACTCTTTAGTCCTACTATTGCTGTGGCAATGTCTATGATAGGTATCATGTAGCTTTTGTTCATATTAACTGACCTGATGTAAAAAGATTTGTACTGACTGGAATAATAGAGGTGCCCTGACTCCTGAGGCTGCTTAGAACCAGTTAATTGAGAATATGGCAGAATGAAGACATTCAAAATTTTAAACTTTGAAACCTAACAAAATATTATTCCTCTTCTACGCAGGCCCAACAAGACCATCACTATGACCGATGGGGACTATGATTACCTGATCAAACTCCTGGCCCTTGGAGATTCGGGGGTGGGGAAGACGACATTTCTTTATCGATACACAGACAATAAATTCAACCCCAAGTTCATCACAACAGTAGGAATAGACTTTCGGGAAAAACGTGTGGTGAGTTCTTATCCATACTGTTAAACTTATTGCTGATCCTCCCCAGATGCGATAAGAATTAAGAAGCTATGTTTATTGCATGTGAGACATTTGTCTTTTATCACAAGCAATTTATGGCCTGTCACTTTAATTTATATTACTTTTTTACTTTCTCCACTATAAATAACATTTTTGCACAGAAAGACATTGAGTGTCACTATCGCTTATCTCCAAAAGTATACAGAGCAACTAAAATAAATAATGTATGAATTTATATGGTGTGTTTTCTACAAATTCTTAAGGACTCTTTCAAAACTTGAATTATTCAGGATAGGAAAACATTAACTCTTAGTCTGAGTTAAGTTCCTCAAAAAGAACAAGTGTTCATTTTTCTACTCTTAAAGACGTCAAAAGAGTGATTGGCAAATAGCTGGAACATGAGTTGTGTAAGTTCTTGCTGCATTTTTATTTATGTGTAGACTCAGCCATCAATCACTAGCTGATTATGAACAGAATGTGAGACCAATCCATGCTATTTTCCGAGATAAGGGAGTTTAAGTGAGAATTGCCACCACTTCCTTCTCCTGTGCTAGACGCTAATGACAGGAATAAAGATATTGTGACATGTGAGACGTGTAGCATAGGCACATAAGCCTTGCCAGATTTACTGCCAACCAAGGTATTCTCAATTGCCAAGATGGCTGCAGCTCCCAGTTGATGTCACAGATCTATTTCTTCCTCAAGAATTGAGGGGGAAGAAACCATACACACAAAGGAAATGATGGTTGAAAAGGTAAATCGTGGTTTCTTATAATGTCCTGTACCTCATCTGAAAGTCCATACACTGGAGTGTAGTCTTAGCAAATTTGCTTCCAACCCCTCCAGGGTTTTCCTGTGCCTTCTCCCCTCCTGAGTGCCCCTACTGAGCTAGGTATATGCCCTTGTAGTTTTCCCTTTGAAACATTCCACTAAGTTGTACTTAAGGGAGCTGATGAAATATTAAAATCGTTATGCTTTGCTTAATAAAAATTCTAAAGACCATAATTTAAAGAATTTAAAAAGAGCCTTGGAAGAAATGGCTAATAAAGGAAGAGTTAAAATATCCTGTGTGAACTTATTGAGAAATTCTGAGCAAATGCCATGGCTAAATCGTTCTGAAAGTCCAATGCACAGTAAAAGATATTCAGGTATTTGTAAATCATTTTACTGTTTTAAGAATGCTTTCACATTTGGTGTTTCATTTAAATTTGCAGTGACTGTAAAGTAGGGAGAGATTATGGGTCTCAATTTTCAGGTAAGAAAATAAGACTCAGAGAGGTTAAATGGAAAGCTAAGTTTTGAACCTAGAACTTGCTTGCTGCCTCCATGAGGAAATGACAGAAGGTGTCTAATTTAAGTTTGCAGTATGCCTAAATTGTGTTGAAAATCATACTTGTACTTGACATTTAAAAGTGAGAGTACATGTGATACTGCTGGAAAAAAAACAGAGCAAATATTTATCCTGCACTATGAACTTTGATTATAGTAATTGAGAAAAAAGAAAAGAAAAAAAACATGTTGAGTGAACCCAGAGAATTTGAATATTGACAAAATCCAAAGCAGTATAAACTGATGAAAATCATATCTTTCAGGTTTATAATACACAAGGGCCAAATGGATCATCAGGGAAAGCATTTAAGGTGCACCTTCAGCTTTGGGACACTGCAGGACAAGAGCGGTAACAGTAAATTACTTTGTTTCTAGCTACAAAGATTGCAGAAGAGCTGATTTTATTTCTTATTTATTTTTAAGTTATAATTTACTTGTCAATATTATTTTATATTTGTTTCAGTTATATAGGAAAAAACTTAACCACATTATATGCAACTATTCAACTAGTTTAAAAATAGGCATTTGTATTGAGAAATAAAAAGAAATTGTTTATAGTTAATTAACCATAACCAGTATTATGAATTTGGTTCAGATTTCAAAAAATCTCTATGAAGTTTCTTATTATACATTGTCATTGTACTTCATAATAGGGAAAAACATTTGCTCCAGAATTTAATTAAATTAAGGCCAGATATTTACACTGTTACAAGGGCTACTCCAAGAGGGACATGAAGAAAAGGGTGTTTAGATCTTTCTCATTTCTGTCCATTCTCTGCAGAGCCTCTCTGATCTGGGCCATATGGCTTGCTTTATTCTCTAAGATCTTGGACACAACATTGCCCTCCGGCCAGACTGCCTTTCCACCTTCCCTGATCCTCTCCTTTCACCAGGCCCAGCTCATATCACCTCCCTAGGGGATTTTCTGAAGCCTCTTCCTTTTAGATTCCTACATCACCTACTCTACCATCCATTAAGTTAATTAAGTATTTACTTCCTAATGAAGTCTATCTTTTTTATTATTATTATTTCTTTTTATTTTTGGTCTCTATTTGCTGTTTCTTTGATTCACGTGTAGCCTTGTCACCCAAACAGAATTGTCAGATTTATAAGGGCAGAGACTATGCTGGGTTGTTCAGTGTCATCTCTGGTACAATGTCCAAGATAATAAGAATTTCTCAGTATATAAGGGTATTTATTGCTTGCTTATTTAATGGCAGTATATTTCTTTGAGTTACAAGATTTCAAAGGTGCTAAAGACCCTATGCTACTGAAGCTCTTCGATATCAGAGAACATAAAAATTGGCAATAGGTTGTCAGGATAAGCTATTTAGAAGGCACATACCTCCACATTCTGAATCACATTTCTTAGAATGTTTATGCTTGTAAACACTGCAATGTTTGAAATGCATCCAAATGTTCACGCCTTCAGTGAGTGTAAACGCCAGGAGAGGTGCTGGGCCCTCTCAGTTAGCTTTTTTGACTGTGAATTCCATTCACACACATCCTTCAACACTGCTGGTGCTGCTGGAGTCATTCCTCACAAGACTCTCTGTTCATATGTCAGTTTGGTTGTCACAAAGATGTATGTTTTGTAGACCAATTTGATTCCTATTTGAAGAAGTAATATAGAAAACGTGGTTCCCATATGTCTTCACACATGATTTGTCAGCCTTGCATGAAGGCAGGCTTCTCTCATCTATCCCCTTAAGACAGTTGCTTCATGAAGGAAATGGGGAAGACTGGGGACTGTCTCGCTAACAATGGGGTTATTTATCCCTTGGGAATTTTGCATTCTGTAAATATAAGGTGTAGCTAAGCCACAAGATATTATAAAAGGCTACACACCTCAACCCTGTTCCAGGACACCTGGCAGCATAACCCATATAAAATAATGGTTATTGATAAAAGTGATGTTGTGGGAAGGAGGAAAAAAATAATACCCCTTATGTAAGCCCAAAGAATACAGGGCACAACCTTTATTCCCGGTGAAGGAGAACCAATGATAATGTGACCCTGGCATCTGTGGGGTTTTTTAATGGGTTCCTAGCTTTTTCCACCCTGCAAACAGAATAAAGTTGGTGGGTAAAGCAGAAAATCAATTATCTTCCCTCTGGAATAAGTCCTGGAAAAAATGGAGGATAACAAAAGGAAATTGTCGAGGGGATAAGCCCTCTCCAGACTAAGAATATCCTATCCACATTGCTATGGATGCAAAAGTCCCAATCAAATTCATACAATAAGCATGTTTTTAAGTGATTTTGTCATGTGAACAGTGAGAGGGGAATAAGGCAGAGTCTTATCCTCAAATAGCACACACACAAACACACACACACACACACACACTCATGGAGAGAAAAGAACAGGCTGTTATGGTTGAGTTAACCATGCTATTGTGGTTGAATAGCAGACAATTTTATGAGTACAGCTAATTCCCAAAAAGAGGAACCCATTCAGTAAAAGTACTATAATCTCTGTGAGCTTCCAGTGACTAGTAGAAACAAAGCAACAAGAAAAAATTGCATATAATTTTTGATATTTCATAATCATCATGATTATGTCTTACCAAAAATATCCTAATTTGAAAATTAATAGTTGTTGAAATACCTCTTCTCCATGGTTGAATACAGGAGGAGAAGGAGAAAGAGGGTATAGCAACCAGAAGGATGGTGAAACCAAGAAGGAAATCAGGAAGAAAAGGACAGTTTGGTTTTAGACAAAGGAAGTTGGAAGTATGCTAGGTTCCTCCAAGTGGAAATATCCAGCAAGTAATTGGTCATACAATATGAAGGCAGGCAAATTCTAATTCTATAAATTTGGGGTTCAAAACATTGGTAATAATTGAGCCAGGAGGTAGATGAGATTACCCAGTGAATATGTGTAAAGTAAGACAAGGTCAAGAATAGAACCTCGAGGAAACCAAAGAATCTACAAGTAAGCTAAAATAGGGGACCAAAATTGAGGACATTTAGGATAGGAAGTTATATTCTTAATTTCAAAGTTATGTGCCTTTCTAAAAATGTACTGCCAAATGCATCTCTGTGTCAACCTTCTCTAGTCTGTATATGTGGTCTCTAGTTTCACCTATTTCTAACATTAAAGTGGGCTTCAGCACCTGGTCCACTTCACTGAGAATGTTGTGGTAGAGGGGATCAGAGCGGAGGAGAGACAGTCTTTACTCTGCCCAGGACAGGGTGTATTCTTCAGAAATCCTCCAATAAAGACGAGTGCTCTCATTTCTCCCTAACAACTGAGTCTGGCCTTCCCTCAGTTCCCATAATCATTTTCCTCATCCTCCTTTCTTCACTGTCTTCCCTCTTCCTCATGAGACATAGATGCTACTCTTTAACTCCAAAGAGTGCTCACAAAAGAGTTTTCTCACCAACACTGCTTTTCCCTACCAAGGAACTCTGGATCCAGATGCTAACAAGCTGTGGTTTTCTACATATAATCATAAGCACTCATTTTCAAGCCAAAGTTTCTGGGCACAGACAAAGAATGACTGAAAAGTATAAGTTAAAGTCCCAATATTCTAAAGTGTTTTCGGTTTTATTTGTGGATCACAGGAGGCCCATGAGCCAACAAGTCCAAGGGGCTGTGTAAGCATGTGTGTGATTAAATGTTACCAAATTCCTTCTGTGTGAGTGGAGCATAAAGCCAGGATGTGGTCCTAAAAAGAACCTGCCAGCAGACACCCTCCTCTGCCCCTTCAGCAGTCTTTCAGGGTCATCCCCCCTTCCATAGGATAACCCATAAGGGATGCCATAGAGATTTCATATTTGAGAGGGAAACAGCGTTGTTTGCATTGCCACCACTACATGGACATGGACTAACTTTCAGATCTACCTGCTGTGCTTTCTCGGCAGATTCCGGAGCCTCACGACTGCATTTTTCAGAGATGCCATGGGTTTCTTATTAATGTTTGACCTCACCAGTCAACAGAGCTTCTTAAATGTCAGAAACTGGATGAGTAAGTGGGACTACGTAATCTACGTAATCTGTGTTGGTCACTTTGGGGCCCAAGAGCTCTGTTTGTTTGCCTCACAAGCTGAAAGAATAACCTTGGGAAGTCATGAGTTTGGTGTTTCCGGTGTCACCTTCAAAGTGGGGGCCTTTATGTGCGTCTCCCAAGGTGGCTTGGAATTGTATTTTACTTTGACACTCTTAGAGGAAGCCAATGTGGCTTCCGATCCATCATATTGAAGGTCTTCATTTTTGCAGTCTTAAGGCCATTAATTCTGCTTGTCCAGCCATTTAAAGGACTTCTTAGAACAAAGGTGGGGAACATCCATCCCATGGGCCAGGCCATAAAAGGCCCTCACAATCATTTGGTCTGGGCCTGCCATGCATCAGGGGTGAGTTAATGAAATGTTTGGACAAATAGAGCAGGCTAATTTTTTTTTCTCACATTTTTCCTGTCTGCTTTTCTTTTTTTCTTTTTTTTAATTAATTAATTAATTTTTTTATTTTTACATATTTTATTGATTTTTTTTGCCCCCCTCCCACACATCCCCTCCCTCCCCAGAGTTTTATGTCCATTGGTTGTACTTATATGCATGTATACATGTCCATTGGTTGTACTTATATGCATGTATACAAGTGTTGATCTATTATCTCCCCCAGATCCTCCTCCCCTCCCCGCTGTAATTTGACAATCTGCTTGTTGCTTTACTGTCTCTATATCTATCTTTTGGTTCATCAGTTTATAATGATCTTTATTATCCACAAATGAGTGGGGTCATGTGGTGTTTCTCTTTCATTGATTGGCTTATTTCACTCAGCATGATGTTCTCCAATTCCATCCAGGTTGCTGCAAATAATGAGAATTCCTGCTTTTTTATGGCAGCATAGTATTATATTCTATTGTGTAGATGTACCATAGTTTTTGGATCCAATCATCGAGCAGGCTAATTTTAAAGTTGATAATTTTGTACGGCCCACCAATGATGTAATGAATACCCAAATAGCCCTCGACCAAAAAAAGGTTCCCTGTCTTAGAAATATGTGAGCTTCCACATCTATTACATCTCACCTAGAAAGGACATAGAGAAAAACAGCTGTTTTTCCTGAGAGGGTACTCTGGCACCTAAAATGTTTTCCCATGCACTTGGGTTAAGTAATGGGCTAATTAACTACAGGGTGGTCAGGAGAGAAGCTGCTGCAGAGCACCAGCCACGTGAAGATGGGGGACCGTGTGCCAGTCAAGCAGCTCACATTGAAATTGTAGGTTTTTTTTCCTTCAAAAACATAGCTAATATGAGGAAGCCTCATATAAAAAACTATACAATTTTGATATACTATGAAATTAAAAGTCACCTAATCAGTCATTAAAGCCAGATTAATATATCTCAGCACAGAAGAATAGTATACTATTTTCATTTTTACTTGATGTGGCACTAAAGATAATATTTTATTTGCTATATCTAATATATATGTTGTTATTATATATTATTTGTAACAATGTATATAACTGCTTTAAATGTGAGTTCAATAACAGTTGTTATCTTGGGGGGAAAATATTGCTTCTCAAATTGAGTAATTTTCCTAGGATCTGTCTCTATTTCTGTTTATTATTATACTAGAGGGCCTGGTGCATGAATTTGTGCATGAGTAGGGTCTCTCTTCCTGGCCTTCGAGATCAGGCCCAAACCAGCTCTCTGAGATCCCCTGAGGGGTCCTGGATTATGAGAGGGTGCAGGCGTGGGAGGTTGGCCAGTAAGGGAGGGATTTGGAGACGGCTCCAGGGCATGTCCAACCTGTGTCACTCAGTCCCAAAGGCCAGACCCCAGCAGCAAGCTAACCTATCAGTTGAAGCATCTTCCCCCTCGTGGTCAGTGCACATCATAGCTACTGGTCGACTGCTTCCTGGTCGTCAGTGCATGTCATAGTGAGTGGTTGAGTGGCCTTAGTATATCATTAGCATATTATGCTTTGATTGGTTGAATGGATGCCTGGACACTTAGCATATTAGGCTTTTATTATATAGGATTTCCTTATTCAGACTTTGGTGTTATTAGATTTTGAGGAGATAAGGAGATAAGATTATTCGACACACACTTTCAGAGAATGATTTCTTCATTCTTTATCAATGAGCCTCTTCCTTGTTTTAAAATTTTTTAGAAGGATACTATATGGATTTAAGATAATTCATTGCTAGGCCTAAAAAAACTTTCATTTCTAACACCCAAATAGCCGATGTTATAGACTAAGCCTTTGTCTTTTCCTTGGCAAAATTGCATGCATCAGGCCTTGTGATAACATTAGAGTAATTCCTCTAACCTCCAAACCATAGGTTGACACATTTCTCATCATTTACTTTCTTCTCTCTCCCTCTCCCAGCTCGCGCTCTCTCTCTCTCTCTCTCTCTCTCTCTCTCTCTCTCTCTCTCTCTCTCTCTTCTCTCTCTCTCTCTTTCTCTCATTTCCTGGAAAAATGAAGACAAAAAACCAAGTTTCCTATCTAAATTTGCTTTTATATGACTTTGTGGAGGTTCAAAAAATGTTCTGCTCTCTTAGATCATCACCTAAGCTCTTAAAGGAAAGAACAAACTTGTGTACTTTAAAATCATGTTCTGTTTTCTCCTCTTATGTTTGAGGAACAAGTGGTATGAAACAATATGTTTCTCTTGGAGGGCACTTCCTCAGATGGAGAAGAGTCCTGATAGGTGTTCATACAGGTGCTTCATGTAAATTATGATTGATCTTCACCACATGCAGCTCCTGAGGCAGTGTGTCCGTGTTACTTGGCTAATATAATATAAAAAGCTGGAGATAAACAATTAGATTAGGAATCTCATATGAGCAGTCATTTGACATCACTTGTTTGTAACTAGCTTGCTGGTTCCATCTGCTTTCTTTCTAAGGCCAACTGCAAGCAAATGCTTATTGTGAAAATCCAGATATAGTATTAATTGGCAACAAGGCAGACTTACCAGACCAAAGGGAAGTCAATGAACGGCAAGCCCGGGACCTGGCTGACAAATACAGGTAAGCCAGTCACCTGGCAATGTCAACCAACCATGCACACTGATGCTAAGTAACGGGGCAGGGACACGAGGTTGATACTAGGAATTACAAAGATCTTCCAGAGGAATGTATGTGATATTTAAATCAATTACTCATTAATAATAGCAACTAACATTTACTGAATACTTAATAGGTACTAACAACTGTTCCTAGATTTTAATGTATTTAACCCCTCACAACCATATGTAGAAGACCTAGAGTTATCCCATTTTATATATGAAAATTAGGCATAGAGAGATTAATAACTGAGGGGAGGCCATATCGCTAAGCTGGTAAGCGGCAGAGCTGAACTGAACCCAGGCAGTCTGAGATCAGAACTCACGCTCTTCAGCACGATCCTCTATGAGTGCCTCTCTATTGGTAGCTACAAACCTCTAAGGTGATACCTGATGTGGATATAATATTGCAGCCTTTATTCTCCCATCCAAGTACTAACCAGGCCCGACCCTGCTTAGCTTCCGAGATCAGACGAGATCGGGCGCGTTCAGGGTGGTATGGCCGTAGACGCAGCCTTTATTCTCAATGAAATTAGAGGTAAATGAAGAATTTTAAAGCACCCCATGCAGTTATACATTGACTTCCAAATCAGACTTTGTCGTTGTATTTTAAATTCAAAGCAATTTCATCACACCTGCCATTCTTTTTGGATTGTCCCTCAGAACATTAAAATGGTACATGTATTCTTGAAACTTTTGATTCCGAGTAAGTATAGACTGTAGTCACATGAATATCCTATGGAGTTTAATTTCTAAATCAGATTTCTAGATAATTGATTAGAAGGGAAGTAACATTGATCACTAGCTTACCATTTTTTGCCCTCCTGTACCTGCTTTCTTGCCCATAGTACTGATTGTATTCACACTAATGAGCAGCTCCCCAGTTGTTACTCACTGAATAAGAACAGGGATGCTTTCCAACTCAGCCAGCAAAACCCTGAATATTGTGCGATCTCTGTCAGCCATATTTTCATATGTGTGACTCATTTGTACATCTTGTTGCCTCGTTTCTGATTTCTTCCTCTTGAAAATATTTCTCATCTCTTCCATGCTAGCATACCCTATTTTGAAACAAGTGCGGCAACTGGCCAAGATGTGGAGAAAGCTGTGGAAACTCTTCTGGACTTAATAATGAAGCGAATGGAACAGTGTGTAGAGAAGACACAAGTCCCCGACTCTGTCAATGGTGGAAACTCTGGGAAGCTCGATGGGGAGAAACCAGCAGAGAAGAAATGCACCTGCTAGACCTCACCCAGGAACTCATCACCCAGATCCCGCCCAAATATTATTACTTCCCCAATCAGCGACTGACCACACAATTGTTGGGTGGACCAGGCATAATGGCATATCTTTCTTTTTCTGCCAGAAAATGTATTTTAAGAAACCAGAATAGTTAGCAGATTCAAAAGAATCAACCAGTTTTTTCTGAGGCCCCTTCAAACGAGATAGATTTCTAATGTAATCTCACCATTGTGGACACGCCATTTGTTGTGATTTATATTTTGTTTGTTTTTTATAAAGAAGACAAATGTGTAAGGAAGTCCACACCATGAAATAACAGGGAGCTGTAAATGAGAACAAAAATTACCCTGTCGCAGTGGAGGAAGAAATAGGCTACCAGAGGGAGAACATAGAAATTTGAATTTTTTTTTTTTAAAGAGTGGATTTATTTCACATGTAGAATCTGATTATTACTTTTAGGTTTGCATTAGGAAAACAGTTAAAAATGGATACACAATAAAGAATTCTAAATGGATCATTAGCAATGACATTATTCTGTACACCCAATATGCTGTATTAGAATGACTTAATTAGTGGTGAGGTTATGAGAGGATGAATGTCAGACTTCTGCTAAAATGTAGGAGAGTGTGTAATAATGCCATTTTTATATTATTAATAAACAGCAGAGAGACAAGAACAAGATTGTGGATGACAATGTACAAGAGAAATGCCCTGGGAGAAAAATGAAAGGATGGAAACATGGCATTTGGACAAATGAAATTAAATGTATCTGTTACAGATGTCTGGAAGAGTCACTTAGCCAACTTTCACTCAAGCCAATGAGAGGTTGACATTATCAGCTGGGATTAAGAGATGATCCAGAAGTTTCCATTTCAAACAAAATTTTAGAAATAGGTTCAGTGTTTTGCTTCACATTTCTTTTCCTTTCTTTCTTTCTTTTTACTTTATTTATTTATATATATATTTTTGCAAATGGTGATAGTAACAGTACAAATTAAAGATTGCTGTTTATTAAAAAAACAAAAAACAAAAAACAACGTCTTTTTAAAAATGCAGTCAACAAAACCCATTTCACCTTAATTTATTTTAGATAAATATGCTGGTGATGTGAAACAGAAAGTGACTACTAATTGTGGGTTTCTTTTCAATTTACAAAATCCCAGAAACTCTAAATCGAATTTTCTTTTCTCTAACCCATACTCTGGCTTTGAATCAATTGTAAAAATACAGGTGTGTCACTTTGTAGACCAACAACTTCAGAATAATCATGGATCCATGCTATGGTCACTCTGAATTTTCATGTCACTAATCACATAAGAATTGGTGGTAACTCATGCCATGTTATAATGTATTTAGCACTTGTTTTAAGGCAAAATGCTGATAGTTGACCTTTATTTAGGGATTGGAAATGAAACTATCATATCTCACAAAAAATTGGTTAATCACTTCCCCCCCAGCCCCCCACAATAAGCTGCCTTTTCTTTCTAAGATGATCTCCAAAGTATTTTTCATTGGCCTATTCTTATCATTATTCTTATCATTATCAATTCCTATTAAACCATTATTTAACTATTTCAGCGAATTTAATAACAATGGCATTACACTTTAAGTTTTCTTTTTTTTTTACTTTCTTCAGAATGGTTTCTCTTACTATAAAATTTTGCCAATGAAACTTCATTTTCCCAACTTGGTGCATACTTATTTTGATAAGTTACAGACACTGGAAACCCTTAACCCAGCTCCCCCACCCCTTAGCCTCTCCCTACCAACATATATCTGGTACCAAATCCGTTTTTAGGAACTCAGATCCAAGGGAATGTCTCCTCACAGTGTACTTAGTGTGGACTAGACTCAGAGAGGTGCCATGGATCAAAGCAATCAGAAAACTTGGATGGGTTGGCGCCTGGTGGAGTTCTTGGTGTTTACTGCCCAGTTCCTCTGGCTTCCGCAGCACAAAGCCAGTGTCTGAGTCAGTGTGCTTGGGCACTCCCTCCAATGGTGTTTTCCTCCGTGATGCTCTTCGTGACCTCAGTACCTGTGCCCTGAGGGTAGAAAGCTATTGGCTAACATGAAAGGTACTTCTTTTGGAAGAAAGTGAGCAGAAACAATGTAGCTATTGTTTTAGCAAAATGCAGTGAACTTTCGAGGTCATTATGTCAGTGTCTTATTTGGATCCAAATTGTGATAACCCCTGCATTTCCACAATAGAGGATGTTGAGCCTTTATGAAAACCCTGAAGGTTTTCTATTTTGGGTATGTCTTTTTATTTCTTTTGATTTTCCAGTTACATGATTGACTCACTTATGCCAAGTTTCTGTCATTGTCAGTTATTTAACAAGCATTTATTCAGGGTCTATTTTAAGATTGTCATTTGATAGTTGCAGCGTGAAGCAGAGAGTGATGATGCCCATAATTATAGAACTACGCCTGTAAAAATAACAATTATTGGGTAATAATCTAAAGTATGACAAAACTTAACTCAAGAAAATTACTTTGTAGTGATATCCTACTTTATAAAAACTTGACCTAAGAAATATTTTTTTCTGGCATATTTGACCCCAAATTCTATATCAATGTTAATAGAAATTCCTTCTCTTATTATTTCCCAGTTAATTAGTCTGTATTATTTATTTTACAACCTCAAATTGATTGGGGGCCCTGAAGTATATAGACCACTTTAAAGGATTGCATAGACTTTTTAACCCACAACAATATATATATTTAGCCAAAATGAGCCCTGTAACTAATTATCTCCCAAATGCTCTAGTAAAAGCCAAATTGTATCTTGGAAAAAATCTTTGAAGTGTACATGAAATTCCTTTCTGGCATAGAAAGCACTTCTGGAGTGTTTGCTCTGTTTCAGTGTTTACATTGCTCTAACACAGTGCCTCGGATACTTCTGTGACCACATTTGTCTCCAACCTATAGCTCACTTCCTACAATGTCATTACAGGAATGGCTCACAGAGACAGTCACACAGCTTAAGGTCTTTGATGTCTTTGGCAAAGGGTTCAAGGACGTCATGGAGATCAGAGACCATTACCACTGTCTCCTGGTCTCAGCTCACTTCTCAGGGAGTGAGTATTACCTGAGACTCTTTTATTTATTATTGTTATTTTTAATATATTTTATCTTCACAGAGATGAAGGAAGAGGGATGAAGAGTTAGAAAAATCAATGAGAGAGAAACATCGATCAGCTGCCTACAGCACACCTCCTATTGGGGATGTGCCCACAAACCAAGGTACATGCCCTTGACCAGAATCCAATCTGGGACCCTTCAGTCTGCAGGCCGACTCTCTATCTACTAAGCCAAACCAGCTAGGGCTACCTGAGACTCCTAACTGAATAGGTACAAGATTACCTTTCTGTGTAAAAAGAGAAAACTCCTTTGAAAAATGTATAATCATAGTTGAGAGAACACAATGTCTGTTTCCGTATGACCAGAGTGGCAGGTCAGGAGTTGGCAGAGAAAATATTAAGTGCTGGGAGTTGAGCTTGCATGTCTCTACAGAAGTGTTTTAAAATTCCTTCCAAGTCACTCTGGCCAGTTTGTTGCCATTTCCTTAGTATCATCTATCACCCTGCACACAATTTGAAGCCAGCATTTTCTAAAGTAAACCTTTTACCTGTTGTTTTTAACCACGTGGGTCATTCTTTGCATCAGAAGGTGTCTTTCTTATGCTTCTAGTGTCAGTTACTCTCTGCCAATCAGGTTGGATGAACTGGGCAAGAGTTTTAATCGGCCCTTGTAAGAGACAGAAGCTTGACTATAGAGAAGGACATGACTATAAAAAGTAATAATAGTCAAATATTTTTAAACTGTGAATTGAGTCAACAAATTTGATGGCACTTATATAATATTTTCACCAATAGAGTGAGCACAGCAGATAGAGAAATATGTAAATATGTGTGATACAAGAGTGTACAACTAGGTACAGTGTGTAACCTGGAGACTCGTGTCTATGAAACAAGATTGTTTACTCCTCATATCTCTGTTCATCTGAATAAAAGGGGTGGGGGGCATGTATGCTTTCCTCATTGTGTACCACACTCACCCATTTGAGGAAAAATCCTCATCCATAAAGAATTTTGGAGTTTAAAACCCAAATTTTAAAGAAATAATATTAAAAATTTTGTTTCCTGATACTGAATAACTCTTTAAAAGGAACTTCTGAGAGCTGATGTTAACCAAAGTGATTTTAAAAGTTTACTTTTGTCCTCTCCTACCTAGCTTTAAAGCATTAAGAGATGTCTAGAATGTTTAAGTATTTTAGAAAAAGCTTTCTCATTTTTTAAGGATGCCAACATGCTATCTATATTTGAAAAAAAAAAAAAAAAGAGTTGTCTAAAAGTTCACCAAAAGTTATGTTTTTTTCCCTGTCTTGATTTTGTGAGCAAGATGATATAAACACATCTCTGGGGAGAGTGCTGAGCTCTTACCAGGGACAGTGGAAATAGAATATCATCTGAGATGAGTGTAGACTCAATGCTCTATAAATCCATGAAAATACTTGTCTCACAAAGTAGAACTGATAAAAATTATTGATAGATATATAGGGAATGTTAAAAACTTATTTTCTTAGAATGCTTGGGTGAAGACCCACCCATGATGACATTGTTGAATGAGCACTATAGAGAGAGATAAGAGTTACTAGTAAGAGTTGTCTAAGCTGAGCCCTTAGATCTGGCAGAACTTGGAGTTCATACTTAAAAGGTTGATTTTTAGGTAGGAAAAAAAAAAGAGTAACAGAAAGAGTTTTTGTAAGTAGATACGTGGGAAATATTTATTCATCCTTTTTTATCTAACAAGTAGAAGAGTCTATCCTTAGAACTAAGCTAATAAAAATATTTAAGCTAAATAAATTCATTATTAGCATTAAACTTTTGGAAACTTAGGAACATTTTATTTATCTGAACCTCATAAACTGGAGTAGCATTACATATATGATGATAGGAAATCTCCCCCCACCTGTGGTGGGGGGCAGGGGGACAGGGAGGGGCAGAGGGTGATTTCCTGTGGTCATATATAGAGAGGAGAGAAAACAGTGACAAACTAGTGGGATTCTTTTAAAGGGTGTAATCTTTTAAAGAAAAAAAAAATACAAATGAATCATCTTTGGATTGAGTCATTTAAATGTTTTCAGGTTCTTTTATTTCTCACGGATTGTGGAAGCCATGACTAATATCCCTCAGCTGACTTAGTCTTTAAGGATCTTTAGGAAATTGTGTAGGAGCTGGTATATCTGTCCTTAACCTAATGGGTCTCTTATTTAACTAGTGGCTGTTGGCACATCAAAATAGCGTCCCTCGTGATGTGTAGTAACATATGCTTATCCTTAATCTTTTATTCTCCAGGTTATTTTTTTTTTCCAAATGCTCATGGAGGGGAAGCCTTGTCCGGAAAG